ATTGACCCTTACCCCTGTTGCCTGCCAATAAAAAATCATCAAGGTAATGGGCGGTACTGCAGAGACCCGTCCTGTAATGCAAGGCCCATTCCAGAAAGGAACTGAACCTCTCAAAAGCAGCACAGGACACTGAGCACCCCATCGGAGGAGCCCTATCCATGTAGAATTTGCCCTCAAAAGCAAATACCAGGAGCTCGAAGTTGGCTGGGTGGACAGGAAGGAGGCAGAAGGCTGACTTAATGTCACATTTTGCCAATTCCGCTCCCTGTCCACAGCTGCGCAGGGCCTGATCAAAGGACGTGTACCTAACAAAACATAACTCCTCTGGTATCCCGTCATTCACCGACTCTCCACGTAGATAGGATAAGTGGTGAATGAGGCAATATTCTCCAGGTGCCTTCTTCAGCACAACACAAAGGGGAAACCCTCAAATTTCCAACTAGGGGGGAAGGAAAAGGACCAAGGACTCTACCGTCTGCACATTCCTTGGCAATTTTCTCCCTTTGTGTTCCATACCCTGAACTGATTTCAAGTTAGGAACCATGTACAGAGTCCTACATTCTTGGAAAGGTATCCTAAACCCCAACATGAAAAGTTCCAGTAGGTAAACATGATCTTGCCGGTTCGGGTAATCCCACAACCAACGCTCCCAAACTTCTATACTAATTAGGCTAGATCCCTTTGTCAGAAGGGGGGTTGTAGCCCCCACCTCCTCTAGGACGCTTTCCTCCTCTACCACCACCCCGACCTTTTGGTTTAGGGCAGAGAATGCATGGGGCCCTGCACATAACAGGCACTCATGTTGGAAGGAACAGGGTTTGCGCCCACACATCCCCTGGGAGGTGAATTCCCAACAAAGCGGGTGTCGCTGAACTGCCTGCCCTGCCTGGGCGCGGGTGGCCGACTGACCCTGAGGCTTTCGAACAGACTGTCCGCTATGCAACCTCTCAGCCCCCGATGACTTAGTCGTGGACATAAACTGAAGCCATAAGTCTGGGTGTATCCAATCCCACATCATGGCCGGATTCATGGCCACATGCATACGAAACTCTTCATCATACTGTGACCACACCGGGCTTGGGAAATCAGTGACCGCCTTATAAATAATGCCCATGTATTGGAGCAGTGCAACCGCTCTCCATGGATGGTGCCTAGCAATCACTGTTGCGTCTATTAAAAACCCCAGGAACCAGTTTGCCCAAGTTCTATCAACAACCCGCCTCTTCAAGCATTCCTTTTCCCACTCATCAAGGTCTTCCTTGTCTTTTTTCCCTAATTCCCAATATAATAACGTAAATATTCACCCTTAAGGATCTTTTCCTTCATGGCGATAGAAAGGTGATCCCCTAGGGGCAGCGCAAATCGCCAGATGGTATGGCACCTGCTGATACTGTGTCATAGGAAACAACCCCCGGATTTGCAAACCCCAAACTTGGATGTGGATAGCCCCATCGTAGCCAAACCCCAGGGGGCGGTGTGTGTGAGGGTTTTTTAAAATTATTATTACAAACAGTGAGGCACCACAGCAAGCAGTCTTGAAGCCGCGAGCCTCCTCAGATTTTAAAACCCAGACCGCCGCCGCAGTCCAGCTAATCAAGCTGCCGGCACGGCCCCCTATCTCAGCCGCAGATGTGGCCCTGCTGCTCCCACATCGAGGGGTACCGCCGCCGCTGCCCAGAGATCACCACTGCAACCCAATGCTCCCTGCAGCCGGACTCGGGTTGCCACCAAAATCAGGCAGCCACCACTGCAAGAAAAGGCCGTAACAGGTGGCCCCAGCAGCTCTCCTCTCCGTGCTTCTAACAAGTGAGCACGCAGAGCAACTGCCAAGGCGGGAGCGGAGCTAGGGCTGCCAAATGCAGCCGGGGGCGGGGAATCCCCCGCTTCGGAGCCCCGATTTCCGGTGCGCCGGAATCAGGTCCCGGGGGAAACCCCACCCCCGCGTGCGCGTCACCCGGAAGTGACGTCGCACGCTGGGGGCGGGGCCACGTCATTTGAGGGGAAAACTCTTTGTTTTCCCCTCAAATGGCGTGTCCCCGCCCCCAGCGTGCGACGTCACTTCCGGGTGACGAGCACCCCCGCGCGCGCACAACTCCGACATCGTCCGGGAGCCCCCCGCTCCCGGGCGATTTAGATTTGGCAACCCTAAGCGGAGCCTTGCCCTTTGAAACAGCTGGCTATGCCCCCCGCCACATCAGGATGCATAGCATCCTAGCTCTATTGCTGTCCCCAATCTTTGGGGCGGCAAAACAGCCCCTGCCCACCATCAGTGTTGCCGGGCGGGCGGGAGCTCTGTAAAATAGATTGTAGTACAGGAAATTCCTTGGCTTAGAAGAAATTATCACTATCTTTCAGATCTAAATGCATTGACCAGGCCTTGAGTTTTATTGGTTTGGGTAGAATCTGCTTCCTCCTAATTGTCTTTAGGACAACAGCTACAGTATCTATCCATGTCATAACTCATAGGCAGATTCACTGGACAAAACACAGATGGTGGTTTATACCTTTTGGAACGAGAAGCAGTTTTACTGGCCTTCTGTTGTAACACTGCAAGAACTTTTGGTATGCAGGATATATAGCCCTAGTTTTGCTGTTGTTTCTCTTGGTATCAGTCAAGACAAAAAAAGTAACAGGAGTTTGAATAACGATGACTGTGAAAAATCTAGTTGGGTGTTAGTGTGTAGCAGCAAAATATAACAGAAGTCCAGTGGCACTTTAAAGACTAACAACATTTACTCCAGCACAAGCTTTTGTGGGTCAGAGCTCACAAGTAATCTAGATGCATTGGAGCTCTGACATGTGGGCGTTTATGCTCGAATACATTTTATTGGCATTCAAGGTGCTGCAAGATTTCTTTTTTATTTAGTTGTGAAAACAGAGTCAAAACTGAGGCCTTGGATATTCAAATTCAGATTGCAATATAAACTTTTGCCACTATTGTCCTCATACAATTTCCTTGGACATAATTTTGTTTACTTTTTACTTTAACATCAAATAATTCATTGCCAGGAATCATACCTCCCTGCCATTTTATTCAGATCTTAACCTGCACCTGCACATACAGTCCTGATGTAAGCCTGCAGATCTTACATTTATAGCTTTTCACTGTTTGAGTATGTTTACCAGAGTGAGGTTCTCTCAGCCTGTTCTGCTAGGAAGAACATTCTGCTTCTTGTGTGCTCAAAACATCTCACATCAAAAGGTTTGATTTATTGTTTAATTTAAAAAAAACTTGTAAGTCTTTTTTTAAAAAAAGTAGTGTGGTATATTTTGTTCGGTTTGAACTGCCATAAATTATCAAAGGAAAGCTAACTAAAAAAACCTGCTGAGCAAAGCTTATTTTATTAGATGAATGCTTAACAAACCAAATCTCATTTGGCTTATGGGTTCCTTTCTTTTATTCTTCAAAGAGCTTGTCATTTGGACTATTTGTTGTCAGAGGACTTTTCTTTTTCTGTTTAATTTTTCCTGTTCAATCCTTTTCTATCTTACACCCCCCCCCCATTACTAAATGGTTTCTGTACATTGTTTGCTCTTTTCTGCCCAAGGATTATTAGATACTGGATCCCTATTAGTTGCCTCTCATCTGTTTTTCGCTTCCTGGTTGGTCTTCTGGTTCATAGACTGTCCCATTTACCAGTGTTTTCAGTCTTCATTATGCACCGTGTCACCAGCCCTTCAAGAGTTGACCCTACACTTAAGTTAGTGAGTGTTTTGGCTTTAAGAAGGGGTTTCACTTTCACTCTTCCAAGGCACAGAGCGGCACCAGCATATGCAAAGCTGACATGCTTTTGATGAAACAGCGTTACTTTGGTTTGATGCACTGTCAATCAGAAGAGAAAGCCGTTCATGTCACTGAACTATTTTCATGAAAAATTGGCACAAGGCTGATGAGAATGGCATGAAGAATTTGGACTCCAAGTAGGCTTGCCAGTTCCCAGGTCGGGTGGGGGTTCCCCTGGTTTGGGGGCTTCTCCCCACCATGGCCAGCTGGCCAGCTGGCCAGCAGGGGAAACCCCACCCCCAAACAGCCACATCCCTACGTGACTTCCCTGACATGATGACATCATCCAGAAGTGACATAATCACACTGGGGACATCATGCGGGAACACTCTGGCCTAAGGGCAAAATTCTATGGGTTTAAACCGGTTTTACCATAGAGTTTTCCCCTTAAACTAGAGTATCCCTGTGCAGTGTCCCTGGCATGATGACATCACTTCCAGGTGACATCATCACATTGAGGAGACCCAGACCTCCCCACCAGAGTGATGAGGGGACCTGACAACCCTAACTCCAAGCCTTGTTTCTGTAAGCTATAATTTTTATAGCCTACAATATATACAAACCAAAACCAATGCTATTCTGGGACTGGGTTCCACTAGGGTTGCCAACCTCCAGATGGTGTCTGGAAATCTCCTGAGCTTACAACTGATCTCCAGGTGACAGAGATCAGTTCACCTGGAGAAAATGGCCCCTTTGGAAGGGGCTGAGGTCTTTCCCCTCCCCAAACCCTGCCCTTCTCAGGTTCCACCCACAAAATCTCCAGGTATTTCCCAACCTGGGGCTGGCAACCATATATTCCACTACTGGTGGAGCTTTAGTTTGGTGTAAGGTGCTTTACAGTGGTGCAACATTCTGGTTTCAGTGGAGGAACAGCCTTGAACTGGAAAAAACCCTTCTACCAGCAATACATTGGAGCCTTTGGATCCAACTCACTGTCTACAAATTTAGTATTTTTAATGCTTGATACACTCAGCTGGACAGTAGGAGGAGAGAAAAATCCTTGGAAATAAATGGAATAATATTTATCCTGCTTCTTGTTTCAATGCATAAAATCTTAGTTGACGTCAACTTATTTGAAGTTAAAAGAAATACCTAGAGACTGTTATACAAAAAGGAATTTGGAATTCACTAATCCCCCCCCCTTTGTCATCGGCTGGTGTGTATGCATGTGATACCAAAAGAATAACATTCTGTTTTCCCCCCTAACTGTGTGCAGGCTGGCATGGCCTTGACATACGACCCCACAGCTGCTATACAGAATGGGTAAGTAGCATGTTTTTCTTTAAAGCCTAAACTATGATTGTAACCATATATGATCCAAACTGTCATGCATGGGTGATAATTTTGCTTTTTTTTTCTTTTTACATCCTATTGTTTGTAGCATCTGCTTGATGAAGTTTTCCCCCACATCATTTTTCTTTCGTGCTTAGGTTTTTAATGTCGTATGGGGGAAACCGCATGCCCCTTTCCTGAGTACTGTCACCACTCTGGAATTGGATAGTTGCCTCACTTGGCCAGAGGGAGGCAGGCATGCTCCAAAGTAGCTTCAAAATTGTTTTTTTGGGGGGGAGTCAGGGTTCCTAAGGGTGCCCTCTGAAGCCTAATTTCATTCTCTGTCTTCTAAAAGGAACTGCATTTTGTTTAGAGTAGATGCCCTGGTTAGTATTTGGATGGGAGACCACCAAGGAATTTCAGGGTTGATATGCAGAGGCAAGCAATAGAAACCACCCCTGTTAGTCTTTTGCTTTGAAAACCCAATAAGGTCACCATAAGTCAGCTGTAACTTGACATCACTTTTACACACACACTAGATGCTCGGTCATTCTGAAACATTGGTGATTTGCTAGTGCATTTCCCCTTGGGATACTGCTTCCTTGATTTTCCTCGAAGGCGAAGAGGCAAGACCTATACACACGTATTCCTCTACCAAAGGAGAGATTCATGTTTGAAAACCGTACTGTGACTGAAGTATTTTTACTCCATAAACCTTTTCCCTCACTTCGAGTGCTGGCTCTCTTCTCTTCTTCTTAAATACAGCTGTATTCACAGTGAGTGACTCTGCTGCTGTGAAGTAGGCTTGAGATATCCAGGTCTTAGAAGCTAAATACATGGCAACATGTAACATGGCAACATTGGCCTTTGGTTCTGCCACAAAAAGCTTCTTTCCAGGTATAAAGAGACTTAGGCTGCACTCCTAAGATCACTTTTCTGGGAGCAAGCCCTGAGGGATCAAATAGGACTTATCACCGAGTTTGCGTGCTTTGGATTGCTCCCTTCATATAGGACTGTTCAAAAATAGAAGCCATGTATTAGGGCAACCCCAAACAGCATGAAACTGTACAAACTTTCAGGTTCTCCAGAACCTTCATCAGGCTGGATATTTGAAGAGGGGGAATTAAAAAACTGAGTAAGAAAACGAATCTTCACGATTCTTATCTGTATCATTTGTAGAACACTTTACAGACTAGAACAGAAACCAACTGTGGTGCCTGCCATGCAGTCTTGCAGGGGTTTTGTCAGTTCTGATTTCTAATCTCCAGTGCCAAAAGAAATCCTCTCCCAGACTTTCCCCATGCATGGAGGATGTGCCGGACATCAACTTCTTGATGGATCTTTCCTTTCCACACTATTGCTGGACTACAGTAGAGATGTCTCCCAACAGCCTGGCCGTGTGTTTTTTTTTTAATTACTCATCTGTTATACTGTGAAAGAGATTTGTTGGCTTCAATGGGCCTTTCCTAAACCAGCTACTGCAATGTAATTCTCTGCCGTAATCAAGTTGGGTTATATTTAATCATTGTGTTAGCCCAGGATACTATTGAGAAGCTTTTTCCCCCAGTACTACTTGTAGGCACGCAGAGTGATAGAATTGTGTTTGTTTCATGTAGGTTTGCCAGGTCCCTCTTGACAACTGGTGGGGGATGGTGGGACTTACCAGGAGCAGGAGGGAGGCCCAGCTGATGTGCAGCAATGTGCCTCTGTCACTGCTCACGTGACCCGGAAATAGTATCAACACGTCAAGGGCATCGGGGTGACACTGGTATTTGGGCAAAAACTGTATTGTAAATTTGGCTTCTACCATAGAGTTTTTGCCCAAATACCAGAGTGTCACCCCAATATGATGACATCACTTTCAGGTCACATGGGCATTGACACATCACTGCATGTCGGCTGGATCTCCCTCTTTTTCAGGTAAGTCCCCCCCACCAGCCACCTGATTGGTGGTGGGATGGTGGCACCTGGCAGCAGGAGACCCCCACCTCCACCAGGAGGCAGGTCTGGCAACCCTAGTTTCATTTGGATAACTATGAGGCCATGGCATTGTACAGTCTGGTAGGAAAATAACTTCATTGAAATTCTTGACATAAAAGTGCAGCCCTATGCAGAACTAAGAATGATGGAATCTCCAAATGTGGGTTTCCCCTCTCGAAAAAGCAGAAATAGAAATAAGTGAGCTGTCTGTTAGATATCAACAATAATCTGTCTTGCAGAATTTTGTTGTATATTAAGATATAATTCTTTAAATCTGCCTTTGCAGTCTGTATGTATAAATCAAATATAGCCATTTTAGTATATCAAAGATTAGTAATTATGCTTGGGATGTACCATTATAGTAAATACACTTCCATATGTGTCATCCACATAGCTTTCTGCTGTTAAGGACTAACTTTCATTTTGCAATAGCAAAATGTGCATCTGACTTTTTAAATGTACACTTATTGTGGAGTTCTTTTGCAATAGTTTTATTTATTGTTACATTTTAAAAAAATTGTGCTCAAAGCAGTATCTTCACAGAAACCTGGGTTAATTGAGGTTAAACTGAGAGATAACCCAGTGATCTTCACAACAGTGGGGACTTCAACTTGGATCTCTGGGTTCTAGTTTGACACTTCAGTCACCACTCAACATTGTTGAGATTTGTGTGTGAATTGTCTCTAGAAAATGTAGGGAATACACTATGAGCCTTTAATCTATTTAGAGGCAGGTTTCCCCTGTGGTAAGAGAAACAGTGACTGTCTTCCGAGAAAATCTATGCAGAAGACATTGAGCCACTTACTGAAAACATACAGGGTTGAGGCAATCAACCACAAGTGGACCAAATTCATGGAAGAAATCTTCTCCCTTTCAATTGGAATCTCCTGCACCTCATATGCATTCCATCCTGAAGCCAAAAAGGTCTCAGAATCTAAGTGGGAAATAAAATGAGACTGCAGCAAGAAGTACAAAATAGCAGAAGTTGTCCCAGGCCCAAACTCCATTGATGGAACTCCACTGATGGAACTCCATTGATGGAAGAGCTCATGCAAGTAGAAGGCTGATTTCTGCCATGTTATCCCAGAAATGCAGCCCCTATTGTATATTTCAGTCTCTTTCCAGTGGTCTTCAGACCCTCAGGAGCAGCTTAGAGGGTCCAGGGGGTTACAAGGAAAACAGAAATCATCCAATTCATAGTTCACTGAATCCAATCATATGGGGCCCATTCCCTTCTTACAAAGTCCACAAGGACTTACCCAAAGTCTTCAGGGCAGTCACAGAGCCTTTGTGTCATGTGAATCGGTCCTGAGACAGGGATCAGCACTAGTGCAGCAGATGTTAGAGACACATTTAAATATATTTCCAAGATGTTTAAAAGTTCTCTCTTTCAGTCTCAAATACATTACAGGAAGCATAACCATGTCTCATCAATTGATTCACTAGAATCTTCATGTGTGGCTCATCTTTTGGTGTAGTGGTTAAGTGTGCAGACTCTAATCTGGGAGAACCGGGTTTGATTCCCCACTCCTCCACTTGCACCTGGCTGGATGACCTTGGGCAAGCCATAGTTCTGTCAGAGCTGTTCTTGAAAAAGAGCAGTTTCTGTCAAGAGCTCTCTCAGCCCCACCTACCTCACAGGGTGTCTGTTGTGGGGAGGGGAAGGGAAAGGAGTTTGTAAGCCGCTCTGAGACACCTTTGGGTAGTGAAGGGCAGGGTATAAATCCAATCTCTTCTTCTTCTTCTTTTATCAATTAATCCTCGTGTCAAAAGTGTGTTAGGGACAAAAGGGGGGAAATGTAGTTAGCGCATCTGTGCTTTAAAGGAAGGGGAAGTCTGGCCACCTGGTGCATCAAAAAAGAGCCAGCATGGAGTAGGGGTTAGCATGTCAGACTAGAATCTGGGAGACTCAGGTTCATATCGCCACTCTGCCATGGAAGCTTGTTGGGTGACCTTGGGCCAGTCATACACTCTCACCCTAATGTACCCCACAGGGTTGCTGTAAAGATAAAATGTGGGAGAGGATAATGATGTGGACCTCATTAAGTCCCCATTGGCAAGAATAAATGAGGTAAATAAAGAAAATTTATAAGAAACAAGGTGTCAGATAATTCAGATCCTACTTAAGTGTGGTGGCAAACATGATGCCTCCCCATCCAGCCAGTGTGTCTGCCTTACCTTGCCTTTGACTGCTGTTCTGAATGTATTAAATATTTCCATGCATAACATCCAACATGGTTGGGATCAGACTACCCAGTTGATACCTGGATTTTATTAGAAGTTGACCATGTAAATGGGTCTGTGCACACTGGAATGCATGTATGGATGCTCGGTTTTAGCCTGATGCCCTAAATGGATGGTAGAAGATATGGCAGGGGGGGAGCAATTGACACTGTTTCTCCCATTCCCCAGCACACCCAGAGACACAATCGGGTTGGAGTGTTGTGTGTTGTCCACCCCATCCCAAAGATTAATTGAACTGAAGTGTGGTTGGGAAGAAGGGGAACCTTGCTCCTCTTGGCCATTTTTTTAAAAAGCTAGACTGGCACCCTTTAAAAAGTTTACACAGAGATTCTGTTGTGTGGGAACGGAGGAAATGCTACTGGGGCTGCCACGGGTTCATGAGATTTGGGCATGGCAAACGGTACTCACTTGGCAACCAGTACACTTCCCAGTGACAATCTGTAGCCAAATGTGGTATCTTTTTGACAGAAGGAGGAAAGGGACCGTGACTCAGTGGTAGAGCATCTGCTTGACAGGCAGAAGGTCCCAGGTTCAATCTCCGACATTTCCAGTTAAAAGGATCAGGTTGTAGGTGATGTGAAAGACCTCAGCCTGGCACCCTGGAGAGCCACTGCCAGTCAGAGAAGACAATACTGACCTTGATGGACCAAGGGTCTGATTCACTATAAGGCAACTTCATGTGTTCATGTTTCTTAAATAAGCATTCATATGTCTGTCTCTGATGGTTCATGGTAAAGAGGGAGTATAAAGTAGGTTTTTCCATTCTA